ATTTTACTTCAGGGTAAAAAATTTTGTAAAATAAGACAAAGAAGCACCCTTTTCTTTAGGATACAATTTTAAACATAAAAGGTATGGATAGGGAATTTCAATTTTTCTTTCTGGAGGACTCTGATGTTGGCAAATTAAAAAATCAGGGAGAATTATAACAAAGAGAAAATGACAACGAAAAGTTAAATGCAGAACAATAAATTACAGTCGTAAGCTAAAAGGTGGCTCATATAAATCGGTCCAAGTTAAAAGAACTCTTGATTGGAAATAAAATGACCTTTTGAGATGGCCACTCCCTACAAAGCAACAATTGAGACTACATTTTAATTGATATGTATTATTTCCTAAAATAAAATTAGAGTCAACATTGAGTTACGTAAAATACGAAAGGGACTAAGCAATGAAAGTAAAAGTTCCGAAAGGGTTCTCTCCCTGGAAAAAGACCGCCTTTCAGAGACTGCATAGCACAGAGACTCGGGAAGCGGCTGTCGGTTTCAGATCCAGACCCGTGGACTGGATAAAGAATTCACAAAAAATAACAAGTACTTCTTATTCCAGTGCCTTTATCCATCATTCTCCAACATACACAATGATGTCAACACAGGTACCATTCTCACATTCGCAGGCAGCGTTACACATATAGAAGAGGAAAGAAATATTCGAACAGCTTTCCCTACTTCCTAAAACCAGCCAATAAATGGGCAGCATCGGTTTTCTGAAACACACACACACACACACACACACACACCAGCCATAAAGAAGTTTATAACAACAACAACAACAAAAAGATCAAACAAACAATGAACTGCTGGCATTTACAACCAGTTTCTAAAGCTCCAGGCCAGTGGTTCTCAACCTGTGGGTCACGACCGCTTTGGGGGGGTCGAACAACCCTTTCACAAGGGTTGCCTAGGACCATCAGAAAACACATATTTCTGATGGTCTTAGGAACCGAGACCAGCTCCTCTGTCTGTCTCCAGGCAGGTCCGCCCACATGCAGATCCACCCCCATACAAGATGAGGAACTGTATTCAAGGGTCGTGGCATTAGGAAGGTTGAGGACCACTGCTCTACGCGATCATGACATGGGATCTGAAAACAGAATTAGTCTGGTATAACTAATATCACCGAATTAGCCAGGACAATTTGATATGTGAGGGCAGACAGAAAACAATTTAATTTAGTTGCAAAGGTGATAAAGATTTTAAACGGCTCTTGTAAAATGATTTATAGGATAATACAAAATAGCAAAGGTTATTCCATGATGCAAGGTTGTAAAAACGCTTATTCGGAGTTGAAGAGAACAACTGTGCATAATGACAAGCAAAGCAAATTCTACTGGGACCCAGACGCTGAGAGAAGTGGGGAGTGGAAGGGGGAGCCTGGAGCTACATTGTTTAAAATTAGTTTTATTGTGTCTTAATTAAAGTGAGGCTGGATACATACATTTTTAATATTTTAAAAAACCAGGGTAACAAAGATTTCTTGCAGTTCCTAAATTCTGTTGTAGAACAACAGCATTAAACAAGAGAAGCCCATTCACTTTCCTAATGAATAATTCTGCACTTATTTTCTGTTAATTGGTGTTTTCTTTGAAGATCCTCCTGCAGCTAAATTTTCAACAATTCTAATGTAAGTTATAAGCTCCTATATCCATCCGATCATCCCAATCAGAGAGAAACTATTCCACACCTTTATTTTTTCATCATTTGTATTAAACTGTAAAATTTCTAAAACAGAGGAAATGCCTTAACTCCTTACATACTTTTGTTCTCTCCAAATTTCCAGCATACTGCCTAGTACAAAGTAGTTCAACAAACAGCTACTTTATGAATAATGAACAACTGAGCAAAGGGTCTGGGGAAGAAATGGTCACTGCCCTGCACGAGGGAGCTGAGACCTTCCGCAGGCGGTTTAGCTAATTGCACTCTTCACTAGTTTTCATGGCTATATTATCCTCTTTTACAACCCGACCCTCCCACCCACCCACGTTGTGTTCTCATTAGGCAGAGCACCTGTCTTTTTCGTAGCTGTATCTAGGGAACAGCACTGGGCCAGGCGCAGAAGCAGCTGCTTAAAGGCTGTTCGTGCAATAGATGAATGAATGATCCTAGCTACCCAACTTGTCTGGGGGAAGAACTGTAGTAATTCTAGGAGCATTTAATATAAAACTCTCTTCATTAACACTGTATCTGAAGCTGGCATGGAGACTTTCAGATGTGATCCCTGCCCAGCCACGACTTGATGAGCATGTGGCTACGGAGGGAGAGGCAACATGGTGCTGCCAGGGAGCAGGGCACCTGGAGACAAATCCCGACTTTGCACCACACTGACTGTGACTTCTGACCTGTTAATGAATTCTTCTTGACTTCATTTTCTTCACATATGATATGAGAATACTGGACTGAAATAGTACTTTTCAAAAAAAATTTAAGTACAGATATATATACATATATATATATATATATATATATATATATATATATATATATATTTATCCTCACCCGAGGACACTTTTCCAATTTTTGTACAGATAGAGTGGGAGGGAGAGAGAGAGAGAGAAACATTGACGTGAAAGGGACACATCGAGTGGCTGCCACCCACACGACCAACCAGGGCCGGGGACAAACTGCAACCGAAGTACGTGCCCTTAGTGGGAACCGAACCCGGGTCTCTCCGGACCGCAGGCCGACGCTCTAATCGCTGAGCCAAACCGGCCAGGGAAAAGTACAGATATATTTAAAAAAGAGAAATATTAAGTAGAACTCCAAATAGATATTTAAAAAAGATAACAGTGGGGCTGCTTGGGTCAGTTGAAAGAGGCGTGATACCTGTGGGAGGTAGAACTGCGTCCGGGTTATCTGCCCCCTTCCCCCTCCCTCACAGCACTTATGGGGGCCTCCGCCCCTGCCATCTATCTCATAGGGTTCCACGGAACCCAGTTAGAAAACCAATGAACTAAAAACCTCAGAGGTCCCTCAGGTTATAACATTCCATGATTCTATAATTCGATTTCTTCTAAGGTTCTAAAATCAACATCAAGACACCTCCCCACAAGTATGTATTGGCCTCCAAATTTTGTAGCCGCATCTTTGTAGCTGAGTTGGAATTCAGACTCATATCTATCTGACTCTGGGATCTGGGCTCCTGAACATGATGTTCTGTTGACTTAACAAGACAGTGATAGAAGAACCCAGTTCTTGGGTAGAATCCCACTACCCACACATGGATAGGGCCCACGCTTTCTTGTACAAATTGCCACTACGCATTAATATAAATAAAGCCTACTGTAACAAATTCAATATATCAAAAACCTAGATTCACAATACAGATCCTCAGAGATCTATTTGTTTGCTTTTAAAAACAAGTTTATAAAAGAATCCTTAACCTACTCTCTCCCCTAGTGTGGCTATACTTATAACTACTTCGTTTTTGTTAATTTTCATTAGAGTAGATAATCTGCATAGGCTAGGATATGCCTTTACTATCGCATCAAAATTCTACCTACATCATTTATGAAACTTTTCTAGGAAACCCACTTTTATTAAAGAGAGGTAAGTCCAAAATGATCACTTTGGATCTCAGACTATGAATTCTTATTTATCTTAATGAGTTTCCCTTGAAATGATACAGTGTCTTTAAGTGAATCTTGTGATATCTAGATATACATATGGGCACAAAAGCCATCATGTGTACTTGTAAATATTACAGTCCCAATGTAAACTTTGAATCCCTAATTTAAAACAGTACCATACGACCTTACAATTAGTGAAAATAATTCAAGGGGCATCGATAATTTGTCCTTTCTAGTACGTTGTATGTGAGATGCAATTGCTAAACCACTTTCCCTAGTGTGCATATGAAAGAATAAGATTTATCCCTCACATTATGACTCTTTAAACAAGTTCACTGCAGACTGCTAATGTTAGATCACATGGTAGAAAAATATTTATGAATGTTTAATATGAGTGAAAAATCAAACACAAAATTCACATGTAGTTCTAATTAAAAAACATATTTGGCCTAACTTCTTGACAACTTCATTAAAATTTTAGTATTCTTCCTTAATAATTTTTTAAAGATTAAATTTTTAACTGCTGCATTGATCAGAGAAAATTTATCTAAAAAATTTTTTTTTTTAATTTATTTTTAGAGAGAGAAGAAGGGAGAGGGAGAGACAGAAACATCGATGAGACAGAACATTGAATGGCTGCCTCCTGCATGCACCCCACTGGGGATTTGGCCCACAACCTGGGCATGTGCCCTGACTGGAAATTGAACTGCGATCTCTTGGTGTATAGGTTGATGCTCAACCACTGAGCCACACTGGCTAGATGATTAGTAAAAATTTAATAAGAGTGGTATCATTGGTCTACACAGAGTAAGGTGTTATTAATCTGGAATAGTATCTCCCAAAGGATGTACCTTGAAACACTTCATGGTACTGTCAAACACATCAGGAAACATTTCAAACTGTATTCTTCTCTTGGAGATCGATAATGTATATTGGCATTATATAAGCTTCTGGAAGTTCTACAGTTAAACATTCTTAAAGCCTATTTTAATCTATCATTCTCAAACTTATCTATCAATATCCTGGTATAACTAATCTCATAGGAAATAGGATTGGAAAACCTTGATCTACAATGATAGGACAGACAGAATTAAAATAAGTGAATGGCACCAAAATCATTTGTATTGGACTTTGGAATGCACGTAATTTTATCAGATCTTCTTTTAGAATGCTACTTTTAAAAGCATACATTAAAAAGAAAATTAATTGCCTACAAGCATAACAACCAGATTAAAAGCAGAACAGGAGCACGCTGGATTACCAAGAAAAAGACACTGGATACAGAGTAGGTAAGACAGTGGTGTACAATGAGAACTGTCCATGCATATTTAATCCTTCTCTAGGATCACGTCGAAGGCCTAAAGGAAGACAGTAAGGAAAGCACAAGTAGTTGATTTACGAAAAGGCTGACAGCCGGCATACTTACGCTGCCCATTCAAGCTTCTCATTCTTGATGGAATTGTAGAGAGCCTGGAAAGACAGAAAACAAGACAGAATTACTCTTTTCACTCCATTACTGAAGCCAAAAGGCTGGAGGGATTCAGCAAGCAGCTCCCAAGCCCCTTGGCTGGTCATCCTCTGTGGAGATGAATAAATACACAGGTGAGGCAAATGAGCACAGGGTAAGTAGCATTTCGTGAAACAGATAAAAAACACACACTACTGCATTGCATTTTACCACAGTTAAAAATTACTGTAATTATATGCTTTTTAAAACAGGATATGATTAAAATTAGACCACATACTCTATTTTATTTTCTAAGCAAGATAATTTTATTGCTTTCTATGTCAAAAAGTTTTCATTAAATTTAATAGCTATTTCTGATGTTTAAAAAATCAGCTCTCAGAAATTGGGAATGTGTATTTCTGTAGAAAGATAATATCTAACTTAAAACAAAATCAGTAATACGTTTAGTCATGACATAGTACAGGCATATCTATGTAAATCAGAAGCAAACTGAGAATGTTGTTTTAATCTATTCTGAAATTTTTCTGAACCAATTAATTAAAGATGACCTGAAACAATATATGTACACATAAAAGACAAAATTCTAATTTCCAGATATTTTTATATCTTATTTAGAAATCCAGAAGAATACATCAAGAATATGAAAGTGAAATAGTTTATTAAGGTAATTGTATATAACACAAATATTTTAAAATTCCTCAATTTTCCTATACCAGAAAAATAACAATATGTGAGAATGATGCAACAAAAATAAAATAATATACAAAAACTATGTATGGTATAAATGAAGAAAAATATAACATTTTATTAAGTGACACAAAACATTCAAATTAAATTATAAGACTGAATATCTATCCAAAGTAATCTAAAGGTTTAGTGTATCAGGATTCTTTTAATTTTCCAAATATTCTAAAATTCAAATACTTTATTTTCTTTCTGGTCTTGTAGTTTCATTTGTTTAGATAATGGAGTACTCACACCTTTTTCACAACAACTTAATTAGCAAGATACATGGAAGGGGGACCAAAGCCTGTTATAAAAAACCATCTTAAAATAATTTCAGAGTTTCTGTACCAACGACTGAAGCAACTTTTTTTTTTTTTTAATCCTTACCCGAGGACTTTTTTTTTTTTTCCCCATTTTTTGTTCAGATAGAGTGGGAGGGAAAAAGAGAGAGAGAAACATCGACATGAAAGGGACACATCGAGTGGCTGCCACCTGCACGACCAACAAAAGCCGGGGACACACCGAAACCGAGGTACATGCCCTTAGCGGGAACCGAACCCAGGTCTCTCTGGACCGCAGGCCGATGCTCCAACTGCTGAGCCAAACCGGCCAGGGCTGAAGCAGCTTTTACTGGTCTCGCTTTATGACTGCTCTATGGTTAGTGTGATACTGGCATGTGGGAGGGGGGACAGGGAGGCGGAGCTTCTTCACAGCGGTGGTGACAGTGAGGACAGAGGCGCACAACGCTACCTCCCTGAGCCTCCCAGCTCTGGCCACACACGTAAACTCCTTGGAATCAAGCTGCTCCACTGTGACAATCCAAGAAAAGGCCACTCCACATCTCGACTTTCTCAATTTTTAATAAGATGTCATAAAGAAAACACAAGTGCATCTCTAAACATAAAACCACAACAGCAAGTTATACTGACAAAAAGGACAACTTAGGTGCATAACAACATTGTAATGAAGTTAGAACATTTTTCTTCAAAGGACCTGGACCTATGAGATTCAGCAAAGACTTCTTTTACTTTGAGATGGGAAAATGGGGGGAGGGGTCAGATGCCATTTAACCTCTCATCTCTCAAAAGAGGAAATGGCAGGTTCAAACAGTTTCCCAGGTAGCAGAGCAGAGGGAGAGATGCCTCGTATTCCTATCACCACCTTTCACTCTGTCTTGTCCGGGTGTAGGAGACAGTCTAATGTGTGCAAACAGAAGACTTCACACCAGAGGTGAAACCCCTTTCGGCGAAAACACTTCAAAATTCAGTTCAAATATATTTAGGTTACAGATTTTATATTATTTAAGATTCAACACACATACCCTTAGCCAGTATCTTGACAGACTCTGGGAATTCTTCAGTGTGGCTGCAATAGTCAATTTAACTACTGGATAAGTATGGGAGCTAATAAAAATTAGGAACACATTTCATCATCATCAGGACATGGCAAAACGTGTCCTCAAATACAAAAGTGAAAAAACACCAAATTAAAATAAGAGGTAAATCAAGGCACAAAGACCATGCTGTAAATTGGCTATTCTTTTTGAAGAACTCAGGTTTCTTAAAGAACTACAACTATGCCTCACGAGCCTGCACGTAGAGAAGTGTAGAAAGAGTAGCTAACTCAAGGGCCCTGGTCAGTTTGGCTCAGCGGTTAGAGCGTCGGCCTGCGGTCCGGAGAGACCCGGGTTCGGTTCCCGCTGAGGGTGCATACTTCGGTTGTAGTTTGTCCCCGGCCCTGGTTGGTCGTGCGGGTGGCAGCCACTCGATGTGTTCCTTCATGTCGATGTTTCTCTCTCTCTCTCACTTCCTCTCTCTCCCTCCCACTCTATCTGTACAAAAAATGGAAAAATATCCTCGGGTGAGGATAAAAAAAATAAATAAATAAATAAATAAGAGTAGCTAACTCAAGACTCGCACTGGATAAATGCCTTTTGAATGGATTCCAGTACTTGTATGAGCCATTTGAACCCAAAAGTAATAGTGGCTGAGAAGTTACAATTGAAAATAGACAGATCATTAAAGGTTCCTTATAAACGATCATACTTAATACTTCCCAGAGTAATTTAACACTGTAGTAAAGAGTTTTTAAAAATCTGTTCATAGCCCTGGCCGGTTTGGTTCAGCAGTTGGAGCATTGGCCTGTGGTCCAGAGAGACCCGGGTTTGGTTCCCGCTAAGGGCAGTACCTCGGTTGCAGTTTGTCCCCGGCCCTGGTTGGCAGTGCGGTGGCAGCTACTCGATGTGTCCCTTTCACATCGATGTTTCTCTCTCTCTCCCTCCCGCTCTATCTGAACAAAAAATAGAAAAATGTCCTCAAGTGAGGATGAAAAAAAAAATATATATATATATCTGTTCATAAAGGTAGTTGAAAATATCTAAGTTTTAAAAATTTTCTAAGACATTTGATTCTGCCTCAGAACAAATTTTTTCAATATTTTTTACCCATGAGGCTATCTTGCCTAAAGAGACACCAAGTTCCAAATTAGAAAATTCTTGTTATTCAATCAGTGCAACAAAAATAGATTAAAAATTATCTTGTAAAATTCAACAAACTTCCTATATTGTAAATCCAGTCCTCTCTCCATGTGTATATAACAGGACAAACCTAAGGTGTTATCCTTTACCTTTTCAACTGCAGAATTACAAAGGAATTTTCATGAATCATTTTAGAGCTTTTTGATGATCCATTATTTTTCTTAAAGCAAAATTTGTTTTGCAAATGCATCCAACACTCTTATATCCTCATCACAACTTCCCGTCTTTTTATCTACTTAGCCCACAAATGAATTTCCTGGATTCCTCTTTATCACAGGAGTCACTTCCTTTCCTGTGCAGCCTGGACTCCACGCACTGTCACCTCAACCAGTTTTGTGGATTTCTTCTGTGGTATTTGCACCTCTGCACCAACCCCACTCCGACTTCTCCTGTCTCTCCTCTCAACTCTCCTCCTCTTTCTGCCCCAAACATCTCCACTCCTTGTTTCTTTACTACACAATAAACATGTCCACAACAAGCAACACCCATTTTGTGACTCTCAACAAGAGAAACCAACAGTTCTTTCTCCAAGCTCCAGTTTGAAAAGATACCAGTTGCAGGGATTCAGGTCACCTGTCTTCTCCATGGACTCATCTCTATGGCTGGGAGATGAGGTGCTATGACTGGGCCCACCTCTGGAGTCAAGGGAGCTGGGGCATCGACAAAAGAGACGGTAGCACTGACCTAGCCACGGTGTAACCCTCCTGAACCTCATGGCCTTCCCTACTTGTATGTGACTAATTCAGCGCTAACACAGAAAATGAACAATAGTAAAAATTAATGCCACTGAAGAGCCGTCTTCTCAAACGTCAGCACAGCCCGCATTCACGAGCGTCCTTTAACTGTTTGCCATCTTCCCTAAAATGTATCTGTGCTGGCATCTACTTCTTCCTGCTTTTTGATGGCAAGGGAAGCAGTGTCCCATCTCTGCAAGGCTGAGCCTCTAACTCTGGTTCTGATACCTTCCTGTTCTGGGCTCCTTTCGGATAGGTTTCAAACTTGCGCATCTCTTGCAACTTCTGCGATTCAGTTATCACTGTCGTTCCTCAGCCAAGATTCTGAGAGACGTTTCTGCAATTCTGATTTCCACTTAACCTCTTCTCTTCAATTCAGGCAATCTAGCTTTCATCCCTGTCTCTCTATTAAAACTGATCACAAAAGATAGATCAGCTTCCTTCAGTGCTAAATTCAAGGCCATGTTTTAGTGTTCCCGCTTTTTTCCCCTTTCAGCAGCTCTGAATACTCTCGGTATTTTCTTCCTTATTTTCTGTGACACGCACATAGTCTCCTGAATGTTCTCCTGTCTCCTTGGATCATCCTTCTCATTACTCCTATCTCCCTCATCTTATTTCTTAAGTATGAGTGAGCTGGTGGGTTTATCTTAGCCCATGTGAACTCCTGTGAACTTCAGATCCATAAGTCAGCTGCACTTTGATGTTCCCAAAGCAGCACAAACTCAGTAAAGAGAAACTAGTGCATGAAGACCCAATGGAGAATGTGTCCTCTCAATCTTGGTCAACTGTATTGGTATACAATATGTAATATTTTGAGTACAGAAAAACAACATATAAAGCATAAAGTAGTTTATGTTTATGGTAATATAAAATAATTAAGTCGGAATCCTGGTAAGGGAGGCAGTTAGACAGACGTGAGCAGAGCATGACAATGGGCCGGGTACAGAAGGTCACCAAGGAGGAAAGCCCCGGGTGCCTAGCAACGGGGCAAAACTGGGAAAACAAG